CTGTATAGCTATCCTTATCTCAACCAGCAAAAACCCTTGTTCCTTCCTATTATTGCTTATACTCTCTCTACAACAAAATTAGAGATAAGGGCAAAATAGTTTCTGGTGGGTATTGAGGGGGTGGGGGGAGAGAGAGGGGGCGGAGTGGGTGGTAAGGGAGGGGGTGGTGGCAGGGGGGAGAAATGACCCAAGCATTGTATGCAGATATGAATTAAAAAAAAAAGAGGCTGGTGGAGTGGCTCAAAGTGTGGACCCTGACTTTAAACACCAGTACCACAAAAAAAAGAGTATGTTATTACAGAATGAGATACCACCACACACTTGGGCCCTCTGGATGAGGCTACTTCCCCTTCTGTTTATTGTCATGGTGTGACTAAAGGCAACTCTCCAGAGGCCAACCATATGGGGAAGCTTAACTTTTTTTTCTTTCTTTTGGCATTCAAAAAAAAAAAACTTTTTTATAATCATATTATTCTTGTACTGAGGGTACATTGTGACATTTATAAAATGAAGCTTGACCTTGAACTTTCAAGCTCCAAAAATGTGTGCTAAATAAATCTTTTTTTTTTTTAAATATCTTGCTTCAGGTATTTTACTATAGCAATAGGAAATGGATCAATCTGAGGACTTTCTTCAACTATGAAAAGAAAATCAGCCTACTCCATGCCATCTTGAGGGTCTCATTTAGCATTCTTGCTGTTGCTGTTTTGCCATGGCTTTTCAAAGTAATGTAGATATGTCTCCCGCCTCACACACACACACAAGAAGAGAAAAGGAAACTGCAGCAGAAATGCCTCACGGGAACATGAGATGGGCTGAAATCCTTCAAAGAGATTCTGAGTACAAAGTGTGAAACAATTTCCAGGACAAGTTCCAATTCTACCTATTAATAGTGGCAAATAATAAAAATATAAGGGGAAAGCAAAAATCACAACTTAAAATGTATTAACAAAAAGATTTCTTTCTAGATCACAGGTAAGATCCTCATAGATTACCTCATATACTATTTTTCAAGTAACAAAAGATAAGCATAAGTACTTTAAAATGTCATTGATCCAAGTGTGGTAGTGCCCACCTATAATTCCTCCTTTCAAGGTGGAGGCAGAAGTATCACAAGTTCAAGGCTAGCCTGGACTAGGTCACAAAATCCTGTCTCGTCAATCAATCAATCAATCAATGTCATTGAGGATCATTTTGATGTAATTCCTAAACCAGAAATAGTTTTATAAAGCAATACATTTTACATAAAACTACATTAATAAGAGTAGACATGAGTTTGTTCTTCTCTAAGAACTAGAATGTACTATTTTCACAAATATATATTCAATGTTTTAAAACCAATATGGACAACTCACAGAATGGGAGAAAATATTTGCAAATCATATATTGGATGACAGACATGAATTCAGAAAACTAGTAATATGAATGCTTGCAGCACCATTATTTATAATATTTCTAAAAATAGAAACAATCTAAATTGGTCATTTGTGATAAAATACTTCAGGCATCAAGACAAAAATAAGTACCGATGCATTTAACAAACTGGGTGACACTTGAAACATTATTCTAAGTAGGGGAAAAAACTGGCCAAATGGTGATATGCTTGCTGTCTAATTCCATTTATATGAAATGTCCAGAATAGCATAATCTATAGAGCCAGAAAGTAGATTAATGGCTATCTTTAGGTGGGGGGGAAGGGAATTTGGGAGGTAAAATTGGAGAATGAGTGCTAATGGACACCACAGGTTCTGGTTTTGCTTTTTTGTTAATGTACTAAAAACCATTTACTTATACTCTCTAGATGGATAAACTGTACAGTATGTGAATATCTCTAAAATGGTTTTATTTTATTTAACTTTGATGATGATGATAATGATGCCAGGGACAGAAACCTTCTGTATTTTAGGCTACCAAGCTATACCCCCCCAGTCCAAAAGTGATTTTTAAAAACATTTTGGGTTACAATATACAAGTATAATGATGAATCAAATAATTCTATTTTCCCTAATTCTCGAGGCATCATTGCTTTTTAAAAATAACTAACATAAATTAAACTCCCTAGCTCATTCCACTTGGACCAATAAAAGCGTAATATTTCTTGCCATGCTTGCCAGCCTACTAAAGATGGCTGCAGTGCAATCTAGGCCTGACCGTCACCAATCTCCTTAATTAAGTCCTCAACTTCCTGAGTGCCCTGTATCCCTGAATAGTTTTATAAGCAGTAACTTCACCTTGCCAAAACCTAAGTGTCGGTTTAACTTTTCTCAATGTCATGCTGCCTTCAATTTAGTCCTCTCATTAGTGTACTTAAGGGGCCGAATTCCTGGTATTTTTATTAACTTCTGAGAAATGCCTGGGTTTCTACTGTCAACAATGAAGTCAAGTTTGAAAAGCAGTTTCCCAAATAAGGAATCAGGGATAAGGGTGATCCTAAAATGCATTCTCCACAAATTAGCCAGAGCAATAGTTCCATGCTGAATTTCTTGTTGTTGTGGTTTTGGGGATTTTTGCAGATACTGGGGTTTGAACTCAGGGCCTTGAGTTCTTGCTAGGCAGGTGCTCTACCACTTATGTCATACCCCCAGCTCTTTTTGCTTTAGTTTTCATTTTTCGCATTAGGTATAGTGGTTTTGCCCAGGGTAGCCTTGGACCGCAATCTGCCTATCTTCATTCCCTGCCATGCCATGCTTCTTTTTGTTTGTTTGTTTGTTTTTTAGTTTTAGAGTTTTTGTTTGTTTTGGCAGTACTGTGGTTTGAATTCCAGGCTTTTATCACTTGAACCACACCTCCAGCCCCAGACTTGTGTTTTGATTCAGTCTTGCTAAGTTTTTGTCCAGGGTGGCTTCAAACCACAATCCTTCCATCTTTGCTGATTTTAAGATAAAATGGGAACTTCTTGACATGGCACATGGTACAGCGGCTAGCCCCAAACTGCTTACTTAGCCAATCTCATCTCTTACCTTTCCTTTTGGCCTTTGCTAGGATGCCTGGAACAAGCAAATGTCTTCCTTCACCTATGACTAGGTCAAACTGGTCCACCTTGTATCTGATGAATCTTACAGCTCATTTTCACATTATACTTGTCTTGCCTCACAATACGACCCCTAAACACAATGGCTGCATCTTACTCATGCCTTTTTAAAAAATCAATTGTTTTTTGTGTCAGTGTGGAGATAATTCATTTCTTTATCCCTATCACCCACTGAAACTCTTGGGAAAAATTAGTAGTCAACAGAAGCATTTGAGCTGGACAGAATTCTAAAAGTCAGGAAACAATGGCAAAGGAAAGAGCTAAAAATGGCCCTTATGTTTTGGGCCTGAGCTGCCTTGAAGAACCATGGGTACTTTGTAGAAGACCCTGCTATGGATAAATGAAAAAGCTTGGTTGTATGGTTTGTTGCACTCTACCCCCAGCCCCTGCCACCAAAAAAAGGTGATTTCTCTGGGTGTTGGTGGCTCACACCTATTATCCTAGTTACTCAGGAGGCAGAGATCAAGAGGATTGCGGTTTAAAGCCAGCCCAGTTCGAAAGACCCTATCTCCAAAAACCCCCATTACAAAAAGGACTGGTGGAGTGGCTGAAGGTGTAGGCCCTGAGCTCAAACCCCAGAACCACAAAAAAAAAAATGTAATCTCGTTTTTAAATGACCTAAAAAATAACATAAAAATAAAATTTAAAAAATAATATATGCTATAATAAACTTAATTACTATAAGGTAGAAAATGGATAAAGAAAAGTGAGGAGAAAACAACCCAAAATTTAAAAACTCAAACACTTTTTGTCTTTGAAATACTGAATTTTAACAATGGTACAAAAGAATAGGTATGCCTAATATGCCATCTAAATCGACTTCTGAGGCTCACCTCTCTCATGCTAGCTTTAACTCCCTCCCCCCTTCAACCATCTGCCCCACTGCCACACTGGGGACTGAACTCAGGGTCTCCTGTTTGCTAGGCAAGTGATATACCACTTGAGCCACACCCCCAGTCCATTAGCTTTAATCTTAAACTATACACTTTCCTCATTTCCAAAAGTATTATACTTCTAGTCCCTAACATTTACTTCTTCTACTTAATATTTATAGAAACTATCAGCAAATGACTAATATAGACAGACAGACAGATACAGACAGATGACAGACAGACAGACAGGTAGATAGGTGCCTTTTCAGTAAAAGCAATGTGTTCTAGCCCAGCTTAATAATTCTAAAACAGACAGCATTTTGAAATAATGGCACAAGAGGTAAACAAAAATAACAGACATCTAACAGTTTCAGTACTTTGAAGCATGACTTGGGCACCAGTGGTATACTAGTGCTGCATTGTACATAATGAGAAATACTAAACTGATGAACAAGACAATGAAAAAAGTGGTTAATAATTTTTAAAACACCATCTTAGAGATGTTTTGAATAAAAAGATCAGCCACACTTGAGGATTTTAAGATTATTCCCAGCTTAAGTGATCTCTCATAGGAACAAAACTTTGAGTTCTTCCTCTCTAGCTTTCTCCATGAAGAGGTCTTAATAAAGCTTGGTCAAGAAAAGTGAACCTCTGTTAACCTTGTTTTGTTCCTAGAGGAAAAAAATAGGGAGCTCCAAAGGTGATGGTATGGACATGATACAATCAATTCTAACACAGCACTACTGCTTTACAATTTCCCTAAGGTTCTCTAGCAGTGAAGCTTGCCATTGGCCTTTCTGTTCAACAGTGTACTACTGCCAACCATCACACAGAGATACTGTGAAGTTCCATATGTGCCCAACTCTTTTATTAGAGGCAATTCAAGTCCTTGCTCTATCGTAAGTGTTTACTTCATGGAGAAAGCACATGATTACCAATTGCTTGTGAAATCAGAAAAACATCAGCTTTGAACAAGGTAAAAATAGCAAGTCTTAAGTATTTTTAAAATATATATTTATGTATACATATGTATGTATTTTTAAAATATATATTTATGTATACATATGTATGTATTTTTTCCTAATGGTTTCAGTTACCTCTTCTTTTAGTGCGTGTTTCCTCTGTTCCAAACAGATCTCTTTTGCTCTCATCATCTGCAAGGTCTCTTTGGAAACTGCATACTGGAGTTTTTCCATACGTTCAGCCGCTGCAGCCCATGATGCTTTACCAAATTTCTTCTGATCTGCTCGCATTCGATCGTACACAGCTATTAATAATTTTTAAAGAGACATTAAATATAAAACAACTTGGTGCTAAAGAATCGGACAATCCTAAGATTGTGCACACTTAAATCCTACCCCCACAATACATTACCTACAACTCCTCTAAAATATAACTCAATGATATCATACATTCTCTGATGCCTTCAATTTACTCTCAGAAATAATGTTCTACAGCTAAAACTTAATTGTCTAATTACTTAAAAAGTTTTAAAATATTTTTAATATATCTAGTGTTGATAACTTTCATCTATAAAAACTTTATTCTGTGAATGTTTATACTTTCTCCTAGGTATGTTGAAACCAGAGCCATGACTATCCAAGATTAAAAACATTCAAATCTGTGTTCCACATCTTATCACTGTGCCCTTCAAAAATACTGTAATAACCTCACATATGAAGAGCCAAATCCTAGATGGTAGCACAGCATTCATCCACAGAAGGTGAAAATGGAATAATCAATTCCCAAAGAAACGCAGCCTTCTCCCTTCCCCTAAGGGAAGTATCTTTGTAGTTTGCCATAACGAAGATAATGCTGGTAATCAAACACCTAACACATTCTTGTTAAAGAAGTATACCACAGATAGCATGGTACCAGGGCCTTATGTGATTAACCCTAACATCCTTATGCCCAACCAAACTTCAATAAGTGTAAGATTCTCATCATAAAATGTAGGCAATTTGATTACTACCAAATGTAATACTGGATATATTCACTGGTGGTTTTTTACATTTTCAGAAGTGATTAATTCTGTATTGCTACTATGTCCTAATCATCTTTTGCAAGAAGAATATAGTTCAGTAACCATTGCCTCAGAATTTGAAGAAATCCTTTATTAAATAGTAATGTATGCAAATGCTTAAAAGGTCTACTTGTACAGTTATAACTAGTCAGTTCTCCCCCATCCCTAGTGCCAATACAAAAATGCAACTAATTTTTAACCATTTCATCTGGTTGCTTCCATACAGGAATATGCTGTTTCTTGACTTACAGCTTTTAAAAATCATCCGCTGAATTTCTATTATGATGGATGAGGAATCTGTTTACTTAGAATCTGCATTTCTAAATAGTTACATCATTATTTTTGGTTTCTCTGAGTTTTGTTGCTGCTGTTGTTTTGATGGTCCTTCAATGCTAATAATAGGAGGTAATGTTCTCAAGTCATAATCTCTTTGAACCTCAATTTTAGGGTCTTTAACAAAAATCTATTCTGTTCACTGAATATCAAATATGACTCTGCCATTTTTTAAATTTCTGCCCATCTCTTAAAACTGTATTAGAATGTTAAAGCAACTGTAAGGGCAGTATCATAGAGTGCATTGTAGGAGAAAAACAGTGCTGGACTTGGAGTTCAGTAGCTAGTTTTCAATTAAAATCCGAGGTCCACCCATATACACCATAAATGGTGTGTATCTTTGTCAAGAAACTCAGCCATTCTTGGGCTCAATTCCCTTAAGTAAAGAAATACAGTAACTAATCCAAGGGCTTAACCGTGGTTTAAATGACTAAAGGATAGGCATATAGATGTCTCTCCCATTTCATACAGCAACATTAACTCAATCAACCCTCTATTTTGTTTCATTTTTCCTTTTTTTATGCACATACTACCATAGCCATCAATATTTATGTTACATTATTTTCAAAGTACTTAGCCATATTTTTATCCATCTGTCCAGAAATCTTAGAGAATAGGTAAATTATGCATTACCAACACATTTTGTATAGACATAAGAAACTTATGTTCTTTAAGTTATTCAGTTCAAAGTTGTTACCAGTTCCAAGTTGTTACCTGCTACATTAGCTACTCAATATTTTATCTTCCAAAATCTTTGGATAAAATATATTCTCCATTTAATTACTGTTTATTTCATGAGGAATTATTTTTAAATAGCCTGGGATTAAGAAGGTATTAGAAACTATTAATATGGAATATTTGGAATACCTCTAGAAAAGCATTATGACTCCCTAAAACAGTTCTCTACCTTTGTCAGCAAGAATAAAAATTCTTGCTAAGATAACCATTTACACTATGAGGCTCACAATACTGCTGCTGCGATATTTCTCCTAGTGTAACCATTATACTACCTTGAAAAGTTTGAGAGGCAATAGTACTGGTATTCACAGAGTAGCAATGTTATATCTATTTTTAAAGCACAAAGATCTAGTACATGAATACTTGTCATAAACAGGCCCATCTGAAGTATTTCTAAAAGCTGAATAGTAATATATCAAAATTAGCTTGCACGTGAGGCTTGTATAGGAAAGAAGTACAAGAGCCTCGCACTTCATGTGGTGGCCCACATCTGTGATCCCAGCTACTTGAGGGGCTGATGCAGGAGGATCATTCAAGTCCAAGCTGGGCGCTGGTGAACTCATGCCTGTAATTCTAATTACTTGAAGGCTGAAATTGAGAGGATCAAAGTTCAAGACCAGCTCAAACTAAAAGTTCCTGAGACCTACTCTCCAAAATAACTAAAGGAAAATGGACTAGAGTGGCTGAAATGGTAGAGCACCTGCTTTTCAAGTGTGAAGCTCTGAGTTCAAACCACAGTCCCATCAGAAAGACTGAGGCCAGCCTGGACTCCATACAGCAAGTTTGAGGCATACCTGGGCAACAGAGGAAGATCCTATCTCAAGAAAGAAAGAGAGAGACTCTGAGAAACACAAGAGATTGTTTTACTATTCTTCTAAAAAAGGAGAAAGTAGAAAATTACCTAAATGGGGACATAAAGGAAGACTATTACTCTCAGAAACTTAAAATTATAGAAAGATCTTCATTCTGTTTCTCTTACATGTGTAAAAAAGGGAAATAAAAAGTCAAACAAAGTCACCATCTTTTATTCAGACTCAAAGGCTTCCTGGCAGGGAAAAAGTCATAAGAACTGAGATAGTAAGAAGTCCAAAATTACTTTGATGAAGCATGTAGAACTCTAGAATGATGAGAAGTTATAAATAAGAGCAATAATCCAAATTGTTTATACAGAATCCAAAATAACAAACTGAATTATATACATTGCGCTTATATAACAATCTGTATGCAGAACGACAAAGACACACAAAGTAGTCAAATACAGCTGAGGTATTACAGAAGTGAGGTTTTTCTCACTAATGTTTTAAGTTTTCTGTAATGGTTATGGTATTTTTAACTATAATACAAAGTTTTTAAGAAGAAAAACAATGGAGAAGAGTGTATCTAAGAAAGCAGACTCTAAAGGAAGTCAGTTATAATATAACTGTTTACAGTACATGTAAGCACCTTCGAAACTGTTTAAAAAGTATTATTAATATAATGTAGCACTATTTTCCCACTGTTTAATTTTCAAAATTATCCTACAGCTCTGAGGTAAATAAATAACCAGGATAGCTGGGTCACCTATAAGTCTAACTTTACAAAAAACTACGAAAGCATTTTCCAGAGGGACTGAATTTTTTCTTTCTCTTTGGCAATGCAGGAAGAGTTCCAGTTACTCTATTATTGACTCATGGCAGTCTCTTCCTGTGCTTATTTGCTACTCTTATCTTCTGGTTAACTGTCTAAGTCCCTGTTCCACCTTTACACTGGATTGTTTTCTTATTGTTTAGCTGACAGTTCTTTATATACCCTAGATACAAGTCTTTTGTCAATATTTCTCTCAAATACTCTTATGTTTTCACCTCTTAACAGTGTCTCGCAGAGTTAAAGATTTAAACTTTAAAGCAATCCATTTTATCAAGTATTTCATTGATAGTCTATGCTCTTTATCACTTTCAGCTTTTATAGTTTTTATCTTTTGTGTCATTTCAAAGAACTCTCTGCCTTACAGAGACTTATGTAACTCTTAGAAACAGATTTTTTTCTTTCATGTTTTCTTCTGGAAGTTTTATTCCATTACATTCTACATTTGAATATATAATCCAATTTTAATTCAAAGGTGTGAGGTTTAGGTAAAAGTTCATTTTCTGCATATAGATGGTCAAATGTTTCAGTATCAGATGTTTCTTCATAACTTGCTTTATCAAAGATTAAATGGCCAGATTTGTGTGTCTACTTCTGTACTCTCTATTCTCTTCCACTGATTTAAAAGAAGGTATATGGATGTACTTGTACCTAAAAAGACTGAAAGGCTAGACCTTAATTTGCTAATAGTGTCTATTCCTGAACTCTTAGGATGAGCAATCCTTATGTACTTTTCTGTGTGATTACTCTGAACATAAAACATTTTCTCTTCAAAATTGCCCAATAAGAGTAACTTTACTGGAAAACTTACCTTTCTGAGCTTTAGCAGTTATTTCAAAATATTTGACAGTAAGATCTTGAATAGATAGTACAGCCATGTGAGCTTTCCGCTGCCAGTCGGCATCTTCTTTTTGTAGACTCTCAATTCTTCGAGGTCCTAGATAGTCATTCTCCATGGAAATCTGCAGAGATAAGGGAAAAATGAGCTCACTTTTTTCCTTTTACTAATTCCACAATATTTGCTCAATATTTATGTGCTGAGCACTGATGTGGTGCTGACAAAAATACTACTTGTTCTAATCTGCTCTAGGAGACACTATTAATTTTAAAGCAAATAAATTTACAGTGATTCTGAACATATGACATACAATTCCATTTCCCATTCCTCCCTTTCTATCATCTTCCATCCTCTCTCCACCTGAACTGGAGAAGGTAAGCAATTTATTTCCTCCCTTACGATAACTGTATTTCAAGTTAAGAATTATTTGTTCAAATAAATATTTAATTAATTTAAGTACATTAAATAAGATATTGAAAACTAAGATTTTAACACTGATAATATACAAAAATCAGGCAATATGTATGCTGAAAAAGACTCTGAATAAATTATTTTTCCCAGTGCTGGGGACTGAACACAGGGCCTCAAGCACTCTACCTCTAAGCTATACTCCCAGCCCTTTTGGATAAAAATAACAAAGAAAAAAACTAGCTATGTATGACAAAAGTCACAAAAACAAAAAAACAAAGGGAAGTTAAAAACAAATGATGGTTAGGAAAATAACAGGTGAATGTTGAAACAAATACCAGCATTCTTCTAAGTACGACCCAACTTATATTTTAACATGGAAGATAAAATCCAGTAAGAATAACAATGGATCATTTTTACTTACAATCCTGCTGTACAATATATTCAGAAAAGACCCTAAAATAATAAAGGACTCTGCAGCATGGCCCAAGCAGAACTACCTAGGGAGTGGGAACCCCTGAGAGAGGAAAGGAAGGGAGGGAAAGGAGGCAAGTGAGGGAAGGGGAGGGAGGGAAGGAGAGGAGAGTGGTACTGGACTATACAGGAAGCTAAGGCAGGAGGATCAGCAGTTCAAGACTAGCCTGAGCTACATTATGATACCCTGTCTCACAAACAAAAATATTCCTTTACTGTCCAAATTTTCTTCATTGAATATACGTATATACATGTGTATATATATATATATATTATATATCAATCACAATCATAAGCAAGAAGAAAATGATTTTCACTCTTCTTGAGTTCATAAGCCATACCAACTAAACAGGATGAAGACACATTTTCCCAGAGGTTTCCTGTTTCTAGTCAAGCAAACAATGAGCTCATGTTTTCATATATGAAGCTGGTAGAAGGCAAAATGTTGAGTTACCTCTTTTTTCCAACATGCAGGGGAGGGAGGGGAAGTAGAGATATGATCAGGTGGAAAGTGGAATAACACGGACTTCCATTCTGTACTATAACAACAGTGCCAAGCAATGAAAATTAAGCCCAGAATAGCATCTTGGGTTCTTGACAGCAATTTGTCACTTATATGAACTGCATTTTATTTTCTACAAAAGATGATTACTCTGCTTCCCACTTCAGGAGTCAAAGATAGTACACATGGTGCTTCAGAAAGTACAAATGAGTAAAGTACAATCTAATTGGGGGTGGGGCAGAGATATTTGTAATGCAGAAATCTGTTTTCAAATTAGCAGACATGGCTCTATTATTTATTAGCAATCAGATCTTTTGACAAATTACTTATTAAGTCAATTATCCATTCAAAATGGTAACAGGGCCTGGTGTGATGGTACTTAAAAAGGCTGAGGCAGGAGGATTGTAAGATCAAGGCCAGCCTGGGCTCCACAGCAAAATTCTCTCAAAAAAAAAAGCAAAAAACAAGACTGAAGGAGTGGCTCAAAGCAACTACCTACTAAGTATGAGGCCCTAAGTTCAAAAACCCCAGTTCAACATCCCCTCCCTGTAAAAAAACCAAAAAAACCTCAATGATGATTGGTGACAGCAGTATATTCAGTCTAGTGGACAAAGAATTACAATAAAATATAAAAAATGTCACAACCAGAGAACACTAGGAATAGGGCTTGGAGATGAAGTGGACAGACCTTCTGAAGGGGATGGTGGTAAGTAGATTCACAGATAGCAAGTAAAATTTTAACTAGGTATTAAAGATAATGACATTTGTCCCTGAGAAAAAAATGATAAAGGTATTTTAGGACAATCAGGGAAAAAAAGTATCAGAGAGAAACAATGTATTTAGTTGTTTAGATCAGGACAGACTTCATTGAAGTTTATAAGTACAGATGTCTTTAAAGGAGGGGGAGGGGATTTTGGCAGATACATATAGAGTACATGAGGAAAGAGGGCCCTAAAAGGCATACTGGGGGTAAGAAGCATCCTAAGCAAAAGCTTCGAGGCAGGTACAGGCACTGCATAATAAGGGATAAAGAGTAGTCCAGTCAAGCAGGAACTTAGGTAAAACAGATAAAAGCAACAGGAGATAAAACTAGAAAAATAGGTTGTGGCCATTTTGAGGTCTTTAAATGTCAGGCTGGGGAGTGTGTACTTAATTTGATAGGCAACAAGGAACCACTGTGGGATTCTAAGAAGTGTATATGTAGACTCGATGTTATGAATGAAGGACCTGTCCTGGAGGACACACTTGCTACAAAATCATCAAGGTTTGCTTTTCTCTTTAAAAAGCGTAACTAGAGAAGCAATATTTACAAGTGTGGGATACAGGAGTTAAACAGTGCTGTGAGTCATGAGGTAACTTCTTACTCAGGACACCAAGGCAGAAATCCTTTGTTAATGATTTGGTTAAGCCTATCTTCTACTCACAATGGGAGTAAGCTGTTACAGCTTCAGACAAGAAACGCTAAATCCTTTATTATCTGAAGCCACCCTGTGCTCCACTGCCTTCACATATTTAAACATACAGAACACGAATCTTTTGGTATGCTTTTCTTCTAAGCTGTTTTTGAGCTCACCTCTCAACCTCACTTCTCAACATCTATCAAGTATGAGGATATACATAAATTCTTGACCAGCATCTCCAAGTCTAATTTCTGCCTTGCAATGCTAGAGTTTGGGATCTGCCAATAGGAGAGGGTGGAGGGGGGAGAGACTTGCTTCTTCCTATCTGCAGCCATTGACTTTGCTGTTCTTTTGAGCATCATCCCCATACCTGCTCCTTCACCCCAGCATTAGCAGCTCCTTCCTGAAGCAGCAACAACAAAATCTAATCTGCAGTTTTTTCAACCCTATCCTCACAGTGCGATTCTACCCCTATTCCAAGTCAAACCAGCACTAGGAATCCTAAAACTCTCCTCCCAATAATCTGGGTATCCCTAAAGATTGCGGGCACTATGGGAGCAATGTCCTTTTCATCAGAGGGCAGCTCCACTGAACCTGACCTCTATGGTTACATTTTAATAATTCTAACCCCTTCCCTTTGTTCCACAGCCCTTCTTACAATGGCTCTTCTCTGAAGTGGCTAACAGTTACTGTCTTAACTTCTTACTCATGGTTCATTTTATACCTAGTTAACAAATCTTTATATTAAATGCCCTCTGTTGAAATAACTAGCTGGATTTTTCTAATCAGATCCCAATAGATATAACTGTGGAATAGAACTTCAATAAACAGAACAAAGAAGGTGTAAGAATCAAAATTCCTAACAAACCATCAAGACAGAGATCATTCTCACTGCATGGTTAAAAACTGCATCCTTGATCAACAGAAAACAGGGAGGAGGAAACCCATAAGTGTGATATTGTGCATTACGGTTTTAGAGGAAGGAAAAAGTTAAAAAAAAATCTATGGTAATTATGTAAAGACAATTTGAACACTGCTGTTAGATTAATATCTTCACTTCACTGTATACATATATTCACAAATACATAGAACACAAACATTCTATGTTTTTTTTTCCCTATGCTGTTTTCAACTGGCTTAAGCTTAGTAGCTGTAAAACTGCAGCCAATTGTTAAGAACCTTGTTTAACAGTTTTATGCACCTAGCCATTAAGCAATGATACTGTTGCGTTCTTTTCCTAACTTGGTAAATTTGAAGATGCACACCATTGGTCAGCAGGATCATGTGCTAAAACAATGACAGCTCTGTTTTGAATTTCAGAACAAGAGAAAAAACAGTGCCTATTTTAACATGGAAAAAAGTGTGTGTAGTTTTAGGTAGCTAGGAGAAAGAAAGTATTTTATAAATACACTTGCTAGGATACTGAGTTTTATGGGGAACTTACTATATTATTTGTTGGGCTACTGAGGTGAGGGAAACCTATCTTACTTTCTTTGGTGAAGCAAATGCCAAGATAAACTTGTGAATATACTTACTAACATAGTAGCACTCACAATGCAAATTTTCTAGGTCCTGGGGTTGCTTGAAGAGCTTCTTAAGATCCCAGGCAAAAGTGTGAAATTAATTATGTGTGTGTGTGTATATATATATATACATATATATGTATATATGTATATATATATATAAATAATATGTAATATGTATCTTTTTCTTTTTTTTTTTTTTTAATGTGAGTATTGTAATCCAAGCTGCTCAAGAGACTAAGGCAGGAGGATCACAAGTTCGAGAGGCCAGCCTGGGCAGTATATTTAAGAAAAAAAAAAGTAAGAGGGCTAAGGATATAGTGGTAGAATGCCTAAGCATGTACAAGGCCTTGGGTTTGATCCCCAGCCATACATACGATAAGGGATTAATTTCCAAAACATATGAAGAACTCGATAAACAAAACCCAATTAAAAATGGAAAAAAGAGCCTGAGCACACAAGAAGACATACAAACAGCCAACAGGGATATGAAAAATGTTCAGTATGAAAAAGACAACAAATGTTGGACCTCTGCACGCTGTTGGTGGGAATGTAAATCACTATAGCCATTATGGAAGAGAGCATGGAAATTCTTCAGAAAATTAAAGACAGAACTACCACATGATCTACCCATCTCACTTCTGGACATGTATCCAAAATATGTTCAGACAGCTTCACTCTCATGTCCACTGCAGCACTAGTCACAACAGCGGAGACAGAATCAACCTAAGTGTTCAACAGATGAATAGATAATGAAAATGTGCTCTCCCCCCTTTCTCTCTCTCACACACACACAGAGAGAGAGAGAGAGAACACAGAAAACAGGCTGACAAGATTAAAAAAAAAAAAAAAAAAAGAAACTCTGTCTCTTGTGACAATATGGATAAACCTAGAAGACATTTAGAGGAAAATAAGCCAGACACAGAAAAGACAAATACTGCATAATCTCATTTGTATGTGGAATCTAAAAATCTGAACTCAAAAAGCAGATGGTAAGATAGGAGTTATTAGAGTTGATATGGGGATAAAGAGGTTGGGACCTTGCAAAGATGTTGAAGAAAGCAGTATTTCAGTTAGGAGGAATAGGTTCAAGAGATTTATACAATATGGTAACTATAGTTAACAATGCATTCTTGAAAATCCATAACAGATTTTAAATGTTCTCACCACATAAGTACATGAGATAATGAATAATGTTAACAAGGTCAATTGACACACAATGTATTAACTATAAAAATATGTTGTACATAATAAACATTAATACAATTTTGTCAATCTGAAATTTTAATTTCAAAATAAAAACATTTAAGGTCCTAGAATTTTGATTTTTTTTTTTTTTGGTGGCACTGGAGTTTTGAACTCAGGGCTTCATGCTTGGTTTTGTTGTTGTTGTTGTTGTTGTTGTCTTTGTTTTTGGCATACTAGAGTTTTAAACTCAGAGCTTCACACTTGCTAGGCAGATGCTCTAATACTTGAGACACTCTGCCAGCCCTGTTTTTTTTGTGTTGGGTATTTTCAAGATAGGGTCTCTCAAATTATTTGCCAGAGCTGGCTTCGAACTGTCATCCTCCTGTTCTTTGCCTCCCAAGCAGCTAGGAATACAGGCATAAGCCACCAACACCCAACCAGGAATTTTAATTTTAATCAATAGACAATTAAATAGGATCTAACTACTATGGTTTGGTACAGTTTACGTATGTCCTCCAAAGGTTCAATTGCTAGAGGCTTTGCTCCCAGGATAGTGGTACTGGGAGCTGGTGGAACCTTTACGAGGTGGGTTAGTTTGGTTTAGGGTGTGGCTCAGAAGGGATGGTGGGACTCCATTTTCTCACTGTACAAGGGTTTGAACTCAGGGCTTCATGCTTGCTAGGCAGGTACTCTACCACTTGAGCCACACCTCTTCCTCCTCCAGTCTCTCTCTGGCTTTCTGATCTTGTCCTCACACACATGTTCTCACCACTGCATCTACCATGAGGAGATGTAAACAATGGGCACCCTCGGGTGAGCTAAATGAACTTTTTTCCTCCCACTGCTAGGAATTAAACTCAGAGCTTCATGCTTTGCTAGGTAAGTGCTCAAACCGCTTTTCTTTATAAAATTAGCTTGCCTCAGGCACTTTATTTTAATAACAGAAAACTGACAAGCCGGCATTTAAACATTATTGAGTTACCTAATCTATTAATATGCTCCACTTCTTCATTTATTTAGGCATCCTGTAATTTCTCTCAAAGTTATTTTTTGTAAGTTTGGTAAAATTTGAGGAAACAGTAGGAAATATTCAATTGCCTACCAATTGTAGAAATTATATATTATTTCTGCTTTCATTATGATAATTACTATAAATTACATGCACTAATTTTTGAATATTAAACAATTTCTTAAATGAATCCCTCTTAATCATAGTATACCATTCTTTTTATAGATCTATAAAAAAGATATACATGGGCTCACTGGATCCCATGTCCTTGCATGATGTTAAGAATTAAAATAATATATTCATAGGGAGATATGTATCTGTATTTTCTTTCTGTAATAGGTTAATTTCAATTTATGAGGATAACTGCTGGTCTCATAAAATGAGGTGGAAGTATTTTCTTATCTTTATTTTCTGAAAGTCTATCTAGGATCAGTATTATTTCTTCCTCAAGTGTGTGAAATCTCCAATGATGTTAATTGAACCTGGAGTTTTCTTTAGGAAAGGTTTTAAATTACAAATTCAATTTTGTTAACAGACACAGGGCTACCAAAATATTTGTCTTCTTGAATCCATTTTGATAACTTACTTTTCTAAGGTGGGCCCAAAAACAAATTTAAAAGTCAAAAATTTTAAAGCTCTGTCCTTAAACCATTGTAACTGCTTTTTTGTTTGTCTGTTTATAGATTTTGGAGATAGCCTCTCATTTATGTAACCCATGCCTCAAACAAGCAATCCTCCTGCCTCAGCTTCCCAAATGTTAGGATTCAGGATTGTGCCACAAAACACCATAAGCATTGTTAACTTTCCTAACAAGTTCTTTCCAAAAGAAATGTTTCCAAAAGTTCTGGTAAAGAAGCCCAGGACTACACAGTATCCAGAACATCACGGGGGGACACAGGGATCTCCTAATGTGTTAAAGAGAACATACTACTTTCCAGCCTGTTCTCAACCCTGGCTACTCAGAAGCATCACCGTTTGACATGTCTTAATGAGATATTGAAGCTGTACCCCAACAGGAGAAAGGACCAAGTATCTGTCTGAGGCCCTCACACTTGCTAGGCAAGTGTTCTACCACTTGAGCCACACCCTCAGTCCAAGCTGCTTTAGAAATTAACGTGCATGACTGGGGAGGAGAGTACAGGTCATGACAACAGGGTCATGAATATGATCGAAGTACATTATATATGTGCATGAAAATGTCACAATGAAACCCATTATTGTACAATTCATAAACACTAATAATAAAGAAAAAAAGAAGCAAGAAAGAAACCACATGCCCTTAGTAATCAATTCAAATAGCACCTAAAGGTAAAAAATGAAAAGTGAAAAACCACTCTTAAGTTTCTTATACATCCCAGGCTGGCAGAGTGGCTCAAGTGGTAGAGTGCCTACCTAGCAAGCATGAGGCCCTGAGCTCAAACCTCAGTGCCACAAAAGAAAAGACAAAACAAAAAAGGAGTTTTCCAGCAATATTTTTAATTTACATATCATTACTTTTTAATGTTTATAGTTTTATTTTTAAAGATTTAAACACATTGCTATCCTTGCTTTTCTCAGTTAATAAAAAATTCTGATGGAGAAGGGTGGATAAAGGAGAATGGTGGAGGGGTAAATAAGTATGATATTATTTGATATACTGCAGGAACTTTTTTAAATGCCATAATGTATTCCAACACAATAAAAAAAAAAAAAACAGGAGAAAAAAATCTTAACCCAGGGCACTGGTGGCTCTCGCCTATAATCCTAACTACTCAGGAGGCAGAGATCAGGAAGATTACAGTTTGAGGCCAGCCCCAGGCAAACAGTTCTTGAGACCCTATCTCAAAAAAAAAAAAACATCACAAACAAGGGCTGATAGAGAGGCTCAAGGTGTTAACAGAGTTCAAACCCCAGTACTGAAAGAAAAAAAAAAAGATGCACAGTCAGCCAGGCTGAAAACTATGAAGTAGGTAGTAAAGGTTACTATTTACCTTGATCTGCTGTCTTCGTAGCATCGCAAGTTCTCTCATGTCTCGGAATGGCTGCAGTAAATACTGATAGAGTTCAGTTGTGGCTTCTGCAAGACTGCTGTAGGCTTCGTCCTCCATCTGATACAAATCCAGAAGCTCCACCATGCTCTCTATATTCTTGTGCTTGTCCAAGAGCTGTGAGCAAGAATGTTTCAGTGTTAAGAAAATCAAATATAATAAGCAATAAATACTGTACTTGCTTTTAACTCTCTTGTTATTTTAGTACCCCGGAACCCTAAAACACAGAAGCAAGAGGGAACTAAAAGGCATTGGTGCTTTTTGCCACTCATCTCCACACTTAAGTATGTAAGCCCTCAAGACCACAGCCTGATTTGCTAGGGAAGAAGGTTCTCCATACTATCTGCCTAGCCTTTACTCTTCAAATTTTTCTACCATCTAGTAATGTTCTCCAATTTTATTAAAACAAACCCCAAAACATTTCATTTCTGATCCACAAAGCAATTTACCTGCTCTTGACAATATTACTTTATAATTTCCCCAAATTTTGTCACTGCTTTCCTCATCAAAATTTGGAACACTTCCTCAGCAACTCTGTTCAATTCAAGTCCATCACCCTCACTTAAGAACAGGGTGGAGAATGAAAAAGCCTCTAATGAAGAACTTAAGGCTGCCAGTAGATGTCTGTGGCTGTCTCCGCATTATGTGGCATTCATGTGTACGTGTCTGTGCATGGATGTGTGTGTATTCATTCACTCGTCAAATGCTCTGCTTCTAATACAGACATATTAGGCACTAACTAGCCTAGACAGAAAGCACACAGAAACACAGTCCTGGTCCCCATGGACCTTATAATTATAGGGAATAAACAGAAACCAATTATTTTTTAAATTTGGAATTGTGATAAATATAAAAGTTTTTAAAAGAATAGAAGCATAGGTCCTATGAGAGAATAAGAAGCAGAGAGGTGTTAAAAGAAAATTCTATTTACGTAATTATTCTTTTTTTTTTTTGGTGGGACTGGGGTTGGAATTTGGGGCCTTGTGCTTGCTAGCTACCACTTGAGCCACTCTTTCCCTAGCTTGTTTTTTAGTTATTTTTCAGGTAGGGTCTCACATTTTGGCCTGGAGCTGAGCTGGCCTGGACCAAAATGTCCTACCTATGCCTTCTACATAGCTGGGACTACAGGTGCAGATCACCACCTTGGCTTATTAATTAAGATGAGGTCACACTTTGTCCAGTTTAGCCTCAAAGTGCTACCCTCTCAATCTGTCTCCTGAGTAGCTGGGATTATAGCTGTGAGCCACCATGCCCAACATACTTATTCTTTTTTGACACAGGGTCTCACCATGTACCCCAGTCTGGCTTCAAACTTGTGACCCTTCTGCCTCAGCCTCCAGAGTGCTGGGATTACAGAGGTGTGCCACCATGCCTGGATCACACACTTATTCTTAGTTTCTGTTTATCTGGCAGCAGTTATCATCTTCCCAAAGCACAAAATTTTTCTATTCTTCCCCATACCCGTAAGTTTCCACAACTATCTTCCCCCCATTTTCTTGCTTTTAGTTAAAATATCATTTTATTCATATAATTATAATGAATTTAGACTTTAGACTCATGTCCTGCCCAGGGTTTTTGGCACAAAGTGCAACAGTATCTAGATATTTAGTTTTCTGCCTACATCACTAATCGTCATTATAAATCAGGTAATCTACATTAAACTGCTTGAATAGCTATCATTTTAAGGCAACTGCAGCTCCAACTCTCACAGCTCCTGTGAAGAATCCCCATTTCTCGTACTGGCTAACTAGTTCTTTCAGACCAACCCTCCTATAACATTAACTATAAACAGGGCAAAATGCCAAAAATTAACAGGAAGCACTACAGAATGACCAAAGTAGGTAAAAACTGAGGGGGCTTGGAAGCAGGGAATGCCCCAGGTGAATTTTTCTATTCATACGTTTTCCTCTGATATAGACCCCAGTAGGTACCAAAAGAAGAGAGAGGTGAAGCTAAGCCTCAGAATCCTGTAGTCTTAGTGTTTAAAGACTCACAGGAAAGCGTTCAAGGAGGAGAACAAGAGGGACAATGCTAAAAGGAGAAAGCCTGAAAGAAACTTCAACTTTGTATTTGTATTTCTACTCAAATCTCTGGCTGATGAGTGAACTATCGACGCATGTGACAGGGTCTAAGCAGTTCAGTACTTTATAGATTTAAAAATTTGTATTTCAGCCACAACCTTCTGCAAAGAAGACAGTCTGCAGTTTGAATCCAATCAAGTTAACTAATAATCAAAGCAAAAAGTAAAAATCAGTATTCTCTAGAACATAACTATAAGTATTACTTCTAAATTCCAGGATGCAATAGAAAACAACTCAGTACTCAAAGCACAACTGATGGAGAGCAGGCACAAGATGAAGCAGGCTTAGATTAGCGGATGATTTCAGAGCAGCTAGTCAGTGACACTAATGAACGTGAAATACACTCATAAAGAACAGACTTGTGGAGTGGCACAAGCAGAGGAGTGCCTGCCTAGCAAGCCTGAGGTCCTGAGCTCAAACTCCACACCACCAAAAAAAAAAAAAAGGCATAGACCTTTTTTTTTTGTTGTTTTGTCTGTTTTATGAGCCAGGGACTCTCTAAAACCCAGGTTGACCTCAAATTCAGTCTCCTGCCTCAGCATCCCAAAAGCCAAGATTACAAACATGAACCCATGGAGACTGGGTGGGGGGTGGAGTCTTAGGAACTATTTGCATAGCCTCCCAAGTAGCTATGATTATAGGCGTGAGCCACTAGCATCCAGCCTATGCTTTCTTTTTTTTAAAATACTCTATTCTTTCTTTACTTCCCAAAGGTATTCTGATTTACAAATCAAAAGGGAAAGTCAATGATCTCCTTTGCCATAATACCCAAAACTACTTAACTTTTGTAAAAGATGAGGTAAGACCCAGGCTCCAGTGGCTCACGCCTGTAATCCTATATACTCAGCAGGCAGAGATCAGGAGGACTGAGGTTCAAAGCCAGCCCTGGGTACAAAAAAAAAAAAGAAAAGAAAAAGAGCAGAGTGGCTCAAGGTGTAGACCCTGAGTTCAAGCCCCAGTAATGCCAAAAGGAAAAAAAAAAAACAAAGAAACAATAGTGAAGTAAGGATGAAGGGGATTAAGAAAGCCAGGGGAAGAATTAATGTATCATACAAATGAGTTTTAGGGCTAGGGTATGGCTCTAGTGGTAGAGCACCTACCTAGCAAACATTAGGATCTGAATTCAAACCCCAGTACTCCCAAAAAAAAGAAAAATTGACAAATGAGTATAACAAATCATAAACTGTCCTTTTACAGATTTTAAAGTAATAATTCTCTCCTTGAAAGAAAAAGTACTTTCATAGAAGCCCTTTTCCTTTTTTTTCTTCAAAATGGAATACTTTAAGATGATGACTTTCTACCCAAATTTTCAGGGACAGCGAAACTGTAAAAAGAATGACCAAAAAAAACACCATTGTAGCAACATCCCCCCAATAATTAAGTTCCCCCAATTATTCACAAGTAAGTCATTTACAAGTGACCAAATGCCACAATTCAAAACTGAAAAAACCCCTAAGACACTAGGCTTCTTTGAGCTCTTCTTTCGGGGCACACTTTTTTCTTTTGGTGACAGTGGGCATCGAAGTCAGGGCCTCCCACTTGCCAGGCAAGCACTGTACCACCCAAGAATGCTGCAAGCTCCTCAGGAACATGAAGTAAATGCAGTACAACAATTTAGATGCCATTTTCTGCCAAAACAAAACGTCAAGTTATTCTATGCTTAGTCATTAAATCACAGTAAGCTACACAAATACATGCAGTAACTAGGCAGAGAATCAGTTGTTTTCAAACACTTGTTATTTCCCATGCCTTTCATCCTCCAACAGGGTAATACTTTAGAAACCTATTATGCAGCAACTAAACTCTACTCTTCAGAGAAGCCCAGGACTTCTCATCTAACACTGCTAATTTATTAATCTGTCTTTGCTATAATGTTTCATGTTTTCCCAGCTCTAGATTACTCCAGAAGCAATTATAACTTCTACTGATCCATGTACTTTAATCTAAGTATCTGAGAATAATCTTAAAATAAATGAAATGCATTTAAAACTGCATTTCAGAAGATACAACTTACTAAACAGACTTTAGTCTAAATCATTTCCTGCGATTCATAATGAAAGAATTCAACAGGGGGCTGGGGGTGTGGCTCAGTGGTAAAATGCACAACAAGCATGAGGCCCTGCTTTTAATCCCCAGGAACACAATAAAAAGCAAAAATAACAGGAGAAAGAAAAATCACTAATTACATAATTCAATTTTCTATTTTGGTAAGCAAATTCCAATAAAATCCAGGAAATTAACAAACTGAGCAGCAGACATTCACAGGTTATGAACTGTTAAAATGTACAAGAAATCATAATTAATGCACACAAAAGAATATAGAAATTATAGTGTAAACTGGATTTCCAGGACTGAGAATGTTAAGAAAAACTGCCTGAAATTAAAATGTGTAAGATGCATGTAAATGAGGAAACTGGGGGTTTGCTAAATTTGAGAGGATTCACTGAATATCACTAAGAGTGCAGATGGACGTGAATGTGAATGTAACATCCGGCAAAGAAGTTTAGAAGGGCTCAAGAGCAGCCAGCACAGCAAAAACACAATCCAGCAGAAAGGACAGATGGACAGCAGGGACTGGAAAGTAAAATTCTGGATTATTTCTGCTTCAAAATCTGACATCTCTTGTGCAATTTTAGAAAATCATTTTGTTAAATTGAATTACAGAGACATTAAGTAGAATTTTAAAATGCATTAGTTAATTAGCCTAGTAAGAAAAACAGATACTGCCTTTCCTTTTTTCATGTTTTCCTAGCAGATACCTTTTTTATTAGTTCCTAATCTTAATACTGGTAAGAATCAGCTCTTAACCTAGAAGGTGTCAACTACCTTGTATCTGAAGCAAAACTGCCTCAAGCAAAAATGTCTCTACTGTAGACTCACAACTTTCATCGGGCTCTGAAAGGAGTCCATTAATAACATAAAGAAAAAAAATGTTTTCAGTTGAGCTTATAAAACTAGTGAGTGGAATAGTGGGCATTTACCTGAGGCTGGGAATGGGAAGAGATTGCTTAATGGGTACAAAGGCACAGTCAGAAG